CTAGGGTAGTTCAATATGTTTCAATTAGCTTTTGTATTTGTGTTTTTTCCCATTTGTTGTGTCTTTAGATCATTATTTGTGGACTGTCACTCTATTTGTTGTATTACCGCTGTGGTTTTATTTCCTTTCTGGGAAAAACATGTCAAATAATGAGGATATTAGGAGGACACGTCCATGAAAGATGAAAGAAGCTTCTGTAACCTTTTTGAGCATTTAATACCCCATTAGTCGGGATCCGCTTCAGCTGCGGTGTCTCAGTATACCGCGAGCTGTAGCTCCCTATATACTGAGCATAGGGTGACGGGAGGACGCTAGTTTGTGTCCTCCCGTTACCCTAAGGAGAGCTGTGGGGAAAAGCCCTAACCCCATAATTCTCCTTTAATTCTGAGACCACCCCATCACTCAGAGGGAAGTAATCAGTGTGGCTCCCGATCATGTGATAAGCATAGCAGCCAATCATGGTTATTACCACAAGGTTTGTTTACAAATGTGCTACCTGGGACGGAGAGGGGCAGAGTGACAGCTCAGGGGTGCAGCAGCTGACTTGTCAAACCGCCAGCACCGGGGGAAACGCATGATGCTAATGCAAAGCGGGGGGCATCCAGAACCGCCCCCAGCATTCAAAAGCGGTCGGTAGTCCGCCTCCATCCAGGCCTGCTCTGCCTTCTGGCATGCTGCCGCACTGTGGTTAAGATTGTAAGGGGGAACTCTGATGTGTAGAGGGGGATCCTAATGTGAAGAGGGGGGACTCTAAAGGGATGAAGGGGGATGTCTGACGTAAAGTGGAGGGACTCTGATGCAAAGTAGAAGGACTCTGATGTGAAGTGGGGGGACTCTGTTGTAAATGGAGAACTCTAGTGTGTAGAGTGGGCTTCTGAAGTGAAGTTTGGGGAGTCTGATGTGAAGTGCGGGGACTCGGTTGTGAAGTGCGGGGTCTCCTGAAGTGATGTGCGGGGACTCGGTTGTGAAGTGCGGGGACTCGGTTGTGAAGTGCGGGGTCTCCTGAAGTGAAGTGCGGGGACTCGGTTGTGAAGTGCGGGGGCTCCTGAAGTGATGTGCGGGGACTCAGTTGTGAAGTGCGGGGGCTCCTGAAGTGATGTGCGAGCAAAGAGAGAGTTCTGATGTGTTAAAGGGGGTTCCTGATGTGAAGGGGAGACCCTATGTTCCCATGTAATTTTATTTGTGGGGTTTTCCCTTCATTCATTCTTACCAGACCCCTCATCTAGGATAAGGGTGTGGGCTGGAATTCAGAAAGGGGGAGGGGACCAGATTGGAAAGCCTCAAAGTTTTGGATACATTTTAAGGATGTCGCGACATACAATCATTGAAAAACTGAAACATTCTTCAATATAAATATCAGCTGAAAAAAGCATTTTTTTTAATCACCATTTTGGTCTCTCCGCCACCCTGTAGCTGGCAGACTTTAGAACCACGTGTGCCAAAAATGTTTTTGAGAGAAAATGAGAGTGGCCGATATATAAAACTGAATGTCTATTTCCTACTCTTA